GTATTAACCTCTTAACACAAAATAAAGAGTTTTTGGTCATTCTACATTAAATGCATCGAGATATAGGTACAAAAACACCAAACGATCATATTTGTTTCTAGATATAATTTCTGCACGCATAAAGCAAAAACACACACGAACATCGTCTGGATGCTGCGTCTAGATGCTGCATCTAGATATTACGTCCAAACACGCAAACGAACAGCTCCTCATTTGTTTTTCTCTATTCTTAAAGTTAGTTCATTCACAGATTCAACAAACATCATCATGCTTCATCAATTAAGAAAAATTTGATAGAAATATCATCAAGTTGTTTCTCATCTTCAATTTCAACTTCAGAAATGTCATGGATCTTTGTTTTTAAACATTTCCAGTTCGAGCTTCAATTATTAAATGTGACTGCCAAACAATCATTTTTTTTAAACCTTTGTCTGCTAAAACTTGCTTCTTAGTCTTATCTTAACGAATGGTTCGTCTAATTTCACTAACTCTACTTGCCATGTTATCCCCACCGGTGAATTCGTGAGCTGTGCAAGAATCTAAGTTAAGATCTTTTTTTAAAATATCTTTTTTTTTTACATATTTCATTGTTGACTTGGAAGAATATTCACAATTTAATTTGTTTTAAATTTTAACTTTGTAAAAAAAAAAATTTCACAATTGATTTTTTTTCTCAAATCTTATTTTCCCATATAAAACGAAAAAATTTGTGTTTGAAAGCTGAAACAACTGAAATCTCCATGGAAATGTGTCCTTTCAATGTTTTTTCCGGTTGGTTCATCAAAAATTCCAAACAAACATAACCAAGTGAGACGTAGGAATTATGGTGATTTGGGTAATTGTGAAATAATAATTGGATATTTTTAATAATTTTATTAAGGTTTGTTTCTAAAATAGAAAATATTCGAATATTTTAAAAGATAATTTGGTATATTCTTATGCACCAAGATTTATGCAATTTAATTTTTTATATTTTATCTTACTAATGTCTGTTTCCAAAACAAATGTTTTCTTTTTTATTTTAGAAAATAATCTCAACATATTTTTGTACACAAAAATTTATTCAGTTTAAATATAGAAATTTTATTACAAATTATTATTTAGATCTATTATATAAATTAGTATTTATTGCTAACAAATGTTTAGTTATCAAATATGAATGTAAATTTTGCAACTAAACTATGTTGCTCTATGATACAAAAAATACTAATGGGAACGTTGTTATGAAAATTCAATAGAAAAATATTTGAGAATATATAATAGTTGGTCATTCTTTGCGCTCAATTGTTTGATCATTGCATATCCATCAAATATTTTGTCTCCGATAAGCGTCTAAGATTTCTAGATTCCTGCAACGATAGCAACAAAAACCACTCTATCTATTAATAAAAGCATTATAATACATGGATAGTCTACTAAACCAATGTAATGATAGGTGAAATCCAAAAAAAAAAACTATGCCAGTTTTAATGTTTTTTGTTTTGAAACATACCAGTCTTAATGTTTCTTCCAAAATATGATGGGATTGGCGCACACAAAACCTAACCTTGTGAAGTTCTTCTTATCCGGATCTTTGACATCAAAAATCATAATTTGCAAGGTGTGTCAATGAAGTCTGGAAGACATAAAAATCGAGTGAATAC